AAGGGGAAGTAAATAATCTGTGATGCCCCAGAGGGCAAAACAAGGATGAATGAGTGGATGCTACAGAGGAAGTTTTCAGCTTGATATGAGCAGAAACTTTCTGATAGTCACTGCTGGAATAAGCCAAGACTATGGCACTGGGAGTCTTCTGAGGCGAGATGTCATGCGACTCTTGCACCAGGTAAAAGGGGAAATTAGAAAACCTCTTCTAACCTATGCTTTCACGAACTTTCAGGCAGCAATATTTGTAGCTAGGGCGGGACTCCAAAGGACAGACAGTGACCCAGCTCGGTGTAGGAAAAATAAAACTGGGCCACATGTGAGCAGATCCAGGTTCCAGCCTGACCTTGCTTAGTTATAAGCCACCTAGGATTACTCTTTAAGCCTCAATCCCCTCATCAGTAAAATAAACACAAAAATTATTGCCCTATCTTAAAATTTTTGTGGTGATCAAAGGCTCTATCTTAGGACTTACCACAGTTGAGTGCATTTATTTAGTTACTCAGGTCCCTGAAGGCGGGAATTAGGCCTTATCCAGGGCAAAGGGTTTGGCCCTTGACAGGTCCCCAAGAAAAGTTTGTTAAATAAATGACTGCAAGAATGGAGACTGTGGCTGTGAAAGCACTTTGTAAATGGTACAGAGCTAATATAAACATGAAGGACTGTCATTCCCTCCTCCCCCACACACAATTTGAGAAGAAAACTTCAATGACAATGACCCCACTGAACACTTCTGCTAAGAGTCAAAGATCATGAGAATTTACTGGATCTTTTTAGAAGAGAATTCACCTGCAAAGGGATAATTTTTATCTGCTTTTTGGGGTTCAAATAGCTCATTCTTCTTTGCTATTTCAATGGCTCAGAAATTGCTTTTCATAAACAATTCAATGACTTCGCATGGCTCTTAAGATAAAAATCCAAATCCCTTATTGGAGATACAGGATCTTGCCAGGTTTGGCCTTGAATTGCCTCACTAGCCTCCTCTCCCACCCCCGTTTCCTTCATCTGGCACTGTGGCCACACCGGCATTTAGATCCCCGAAAGGACCGTGCTCCCTCTCTGAGCACCAAAGCTTCAAACATGCTGTTCTTTCTGCCAAGAAAAATCTCCCACTCTCTTGTCTACTTAATGCTTGTTCCTCCTTGAAGGCATAGATGCAAGGTCTCTTACCCAGAGATACACTCCTTGGCCTCTCAAACTAGTCTGCTGTACACTCGAACAACACGGGTTATGTCTTTCCTTCATAGCTCTTACCAGAGTTGATAATAATACAATGACCTATATGATTACTTTTGCTCTCTCCTCCACATGTCATCTCCTTGAGGGCAAGAGCTGTGTTCCATATTGTTCACTATATTTTATGTAGTCCCAGCACTAAGTTATAATGTCTGGCACATATTAGAAACTCAGTATTTGTCGACTGAATGACTAAAGCATACTTCACAATGTTTATGTTAAACGGTAACTACTATGTTTTCTTTGTATTTTTTTTGTTTTGAGTTTTTCAAAACAACGTTGCCTAACTTTGACAAAAATAAGGCTTCTGACTATCAGAAATTGAAATCCCATACACTATGACAGGATTCTAAACTACTTCCCTAATAGGCTCAAATTTATGACCTTAAAATTAACAATGTAAGCTTATTTTTTTATGCCTTTACTGATTTATTGAGAATCTAGATTTTCTTCCCCTACAGTCAGGCTACCACCCACTGTCAAATTATGGATAAGAGAACCAGTTGTCACTTCACAGCCTCTGGCTGAGACGTCTTCTAACCGGATGTGGGCCAGGGACACAGAAACCCCAGAAAATCCACACCAACTTCACAACCAGAATTTTGTGATTCTTACATGTTATCAGGTCTTCCCGATAATTCTTGATCCAAAGAATACTTCTTTGTGTGATTATAAAGTTATTTTCTGCATACTCCCTCTCATATTCCATTTCAAAATTATACAACATGACACTCTCCTATTTACAAAATTGAGGCAAGGGGTATATCTATGACTGACAAAAGCTAAAAAAATTTTCTTCCTTATGGTACAATAGGGATTTTATGGTGTTTTAATTCGGCTTTTTTAGGTCAGCTTTGAGATTCACATCACTTGCCTCAGACCCAGGGCTGAGGAAAGGCTCCTGGAAGACAAAGTCACTCCTACAGAAGGGCTGCTTCCTTTCATCAGAGGACACAGCTCCCTTCACTCCCCAGTGATTTATGTGTCCTGCTGTATTACTGAGGAGATGTTGGTGAGGGTCTGAAACAAATCTTCCTCCAGAATAGGAAGTAAGCCATGGTCTGCAGGACATATGGCACACAGCTCCTCAAAGATTAATGGGAACATGAGACTTTGCTGGGTCCTCAGTCCAGGGATGATAAGGGTGTTGGAAAGAGTATCTCCTCTTAGCTTTGAAGTGTCCCTGACTACAAAGGTTTGAGGAAATTTAGAGTGAATGGGAATCCCCCAAATAAGGTTTGGCAGGCAGAATGCCTATTGTAAAGAATTCCCTAGACATATATAAGCACGGTTTCAAAAATCTTCAGACCGATGCAAGCAGAGTTCAGGGACGCTTGAGAAGCTTGCAATATTTATTTTGTAAATTAATGAGATCAGGAACATCTCCTGAGGCTGCAGCAGATCCAGCCGATTTTCATTGTTCATCAAATGAGCACTGCGGGTGGAAATCACACCCCTGGGTAGTTTGGGGCCACTGCAAATGCAGGTCTCCAAGGGGAGTGTGGCCTCCAGGCTGCTTGGCCACTCTTGCACCTGTCCCTGGCCATGTTCTTCACCTGTTTCCATTGCTACTGCTTTCCCCAGGCCCCGACCCCTTTCTCTCCCTCTCTTATAGATGATTCATTCCATGCTTCACAACAAACTTAGGGCCACTGAGTATTCACTCAATTTTCCAGTCCCATCCCTCCAAATATCTCTACCTATACCTGTGCCCATCCCCACCTCTTTTCCACTGTCAGAAAAGAGGACGTGGTCGTTTTGTTCAAGCACAATTACACTCCCTGTGCCTTGGATTTGTCTTTCTGGGCAACTGCTCGCTCATAATTTCCACTTCTTTTTGACCAACTCCTCTCCTACAGTATATGAAGAACTTCCTCCCCACTGATCTCATTTGCTTCACGGCCATGCTCCTTGAAAGAACAATTCGCACTTGTTCCTCCACTCCCTCACTTTCCTTCACTCTGAACTTGTAATTTAATTGTTACCTTGCTTCCCTCTTTCCACCATCTGACACCCTGTACCTTTCTCCTTCTGGGGCTTGCATGTTTCTACCCTGCCCAGGTTCTTCTGCCACTCTGCTTGTTCCTTCTCAGTCTCTTTTACTGCAATACACTTACATGTTGGGGTTCCCCAAGGTTAGATGTGGGACCCTTCTTTCTTCTTTTACACAATCTCTCTTGGTAACCTATCTTCTCATTCATTCATTCAGTCATTTATTTATTCATTTGATATTTATCGAGATCTTACTGTGTTGACAAGCACTCTGCTGTTGGCTGAGGATGAATAAAGCCGGTATCTGAGTGCCAGGAATCTTGACTTAGTAGGAAATCATTTAAAGAAATAAGTGCAATTAAATGTTACAAATGTTCTGTGAGTATGTAGAGAGTCCCAGGGGTGGGGAGGAGACTTCACAGGGATGAAAAGAGAGAACCTCTTGAGAGATGAGAAAAAATGTGCCAGCAGGACTGGGGAAGAAGGGAGGAATCCCAGGTAACGAAGTAGCATTCATAGTACAGGATTTGGAATCAGGTAGGTCTGGATAAAATCTTTGTTCTTGCTCTTATAATACATGGGAATTAGGCCATATTACTTCTGGAGGTCTCAGTTTTCACTTCTGTAATATAGAGATGATAGTCTTATCTTGTATGGCCATTGTAAAGGTTAGATAAGAATGTAAAGTGCTCAGCACTATGCCTGGCATACAGTAAGTGATTATTAAACGACAATCATTATTATTACTATAAATGTATTTATAAATGTAATATGTGTTTTGTAACCATTACAAAGACTTACTTCACAGGCTTGTTGTGAAGATCAAATGAACTAATAGATGTGAAAGAACATTAAAAAAGTACAGAACAATATTATTCAGCCATAAAATGGAATGAAGTTGTGATACATCTACAACATGGATGAACCTTGAAAATATTATGCTAAGTGAAATAAGCCAGACACAAAATGACAAATCTTGTTTGATTCCACTTATATGAGGTGCTTAGAATAGGCAAATTCAGAGACAGAAAGTACAGTAGAGGTTACCAGGGGCTGAGCGGAGGGGAGAAGGGGGAGTTATTGCTTAATGGGTACCGAGTTTCTGTTTGAGATGATGAAATAGATAGTGGTGGTGGCTGCACAACATTGTGAATGTATTTAATACCACTGAATTATACACTTAAAAATGGTAAATATGTACAGCAGAAATGAAGTGCTAGGTTCATGTGCTACTTTCAACAAAAATGACACCACTAACATCTACAGTAAGAGACAAATCAGGACATTTAATCTCTTCAGGGTTTAATCTGCTCAGGTTTTTAAAATTGTACTTATATTTGCAGAGTTTTATGTACTACTAGTACAAATATATATTTTTTAAAATTAGTAAACTTTCAAAAGAGGGAATTAATCTAAGGTTGGCATTATGATTGCTGTAAATCTGGACAGTTGGGCTCCCTTCTATATAGAGAAGTCTAACAATTTTATTTCGATTTTCACCTTGGATTAGACCCATGATGGGCTTGCTTTTACCAATCGCTTCTCTCCGGTTAACAGTTGTATAGTATACTTTGGAGATACATACTTGTGTTTGAGATTTTACAACATAATGAGGACATTATGGATAATGTAAAAATGGATACACATGCACCCTTACAAAGAGACAAGAAGTTCAGCATTTAGAAAATTATGCTTAAAAGTAGACAACCATTAGAATTTTAGAAAAGGAAATTTTTCTTTGGGCCTTGGCAGGACACACGCGGCTCACTGACCTGTGTTCCCTGACTATTGATGTCTACGGCATCACTCCACTCAGTTGTTATTTCATCCAGCAATTCTACTCTCAAAAGGAGGCTAGGAAGTAAGTCTCTGGTCTTACAGTCTGGATAACTGGAAATCTGATGATACAGCTCATGATGAATTGAGCACTCAGAAGGAATTTTTCTGCAATAAACCTCAAAGTTCGGAATATCTAAAATGAAAAAAAAGGCATATGCAGACTTAGGCTTGACAACAAAGACTTAGGAATATTAAACATAATGTGGCAAGAGAAACTTCTCAAAGAGGCATGGATAATATTTTTATTTAAACATTCTTCACAGGATCACAGGTAACTTCTGAATCAAAAACCACCAGAAAAAACATAGGTTTTTGTATTACTTAAATTCAATGCCATAAAATATACCTTTAATATTTTCCTTTATAAGTATTGTTACTGGACATCTGTTGTGGAAAATTATTCGAGGACTAGGGTCTTCTGAGAGGGTTAAATAAGTCACTCCAAAATGTTCTTGATATGTCAGTGCAATAGCCCTAGAATAGAATCAAATCAAATGACAGAAATGGTTTAGAAAAAAATGAATGCTTTCTCTCCCGGTACATGCCTATTTATTATTTTTTTTTTGTGAGGAAGATCAGCCCTGAGCTAACATCCATGCTAATCCTCCTCTTTTTGCTGACGAAGACCGGCTCTGAGCTAACATCTGTTGCCAATCCTCCTCCTTTTTTTCCCCCAAAGCCCCAGTAGATAGTCATATGTCACAGCTGCACATCCTGCTAGTTGCTGTATGTGGGACGCGGCCTCAGCATGGCCGGAGAAGCGGTGCGTCGGTGCGCGCCCGGGATCTGAAGCTGGGCCGCCAGTAGCGGAGCGCGTACACTTAACCACTAAGCCACGGGGCTGGCCCGGTACATGCCTATTTAGATTTGCAATATTCAGAACCCTACAACAGCTGCTCTTTCATAGATCAGAGGAAATGTTTTCCAGAGAAAGGAGGCCATCCTGTCACCTATTAACTGCTATACACTAATTATACAGTTTACTGATTTTTTTCCCAACAATAGTAACATATATTTATCAAAAAATATTCAAAAAATGGGAAAATTATTTAAAAGAAAAAAAACATAACTCTACCACTCAGAGAGAATTCCAGCTAACCTGTGCTAACCTTTCCTCCTGCTCTTTTTCCCTCTACGCATATGTGCCTTAAACTCTTCAGATAGGATGCTTCTTCCTCAAAAGTGCTTGATAAATTTTGGCAAAGGAGGAGCTGATGTACTTTTAGAAGGATGACTAGAGAATTTGGGTGCTTGCTCTTTTTTTTTTTTTTTTTTGATGTATTAATAGTTTATAACATTGTGAAATTTTGGTTGTACATTATTGTCAGTCACCATATAAATGCCTACCTTCACCCCTTGTGCCCACCCCCCAAACTCCCTGCCCCTGGTGTCCACCATACAGTTCTGTCTGTCTGTGTGTTTATTTATAGTCCACATATGAGTGAAATCACGTGGTGTTTGTCTTTCTCTCTCTGACTTATTTCACTTAACATAATACCCTCCAGGTCCATCCATGTTGTTGCAAATGGGATGATTTTGTCTTTTTTATGGCTGAGTAGTATTCCATTGTGTGTGTGTGTATGTGTGTGTGTGTGTGTATACACCACATCTTCTTGATCCAATCATCAGTTGAGGGACACTTGTGTTGCTTCCACTTCTTGGCTATAGTGAATAATGCTGCAATGAACATAGGGGTGCATAAGCCTCTTTGGATCATTGATTTCAGGTTCGTTGGATAGATTCCCAGTAGTGGGATAGCTGGATCATAGGGTATTTCTATTTCTAATTTTTTGAGGACTCTCCATACAGTTTTGCATAGAGGCACCAGTTTGCATTCCCACCAGCTGTGTATGAGGGTCCCTGTTTCTCCACATCCTCTCCAACATTTGTTGTTTTTTGTCTTGGTGATTATAGCCATTCTAACGGGTGTAGGGTGATACTTAATGTGGTTTTGATTTGCATTTCCTTGAGGATTAGTGATGTTGAATATCTTTTCATGTGCCTACTGGCCATCTGTATATCTTCTTTGGAGAAGTGTCTGTTCATTTCCTCTGCCCATTTTTTGATCGGGTTGTTTTTTTGTTGTTCAGTTGTCTGAGTTCTTTATATGTTATGGAGATTAACCCCTTGTCAGATGTATGTTTTGCAAATATTTTCTCCCAGCTGGTGGGTTGTCTATTCATTTTGATCCTGGTTTCATTTGTCTTGTAGAAGCTCTTTAATCTGATGAAGTCCCACTTGCTTATTTTTTCTTTAGTTTCCCTAGTTTGAGTAGGCACGGCATCCAAAAGGATTCCTTTATGACCAACGTCAAATAGTGTGTTGCCTATTCTTCTATGAGTTTTATAGTTTCAGGTCTCACCTTCAGGTCTTTGATCCATTTTGAGTTAATTTTTGTGAATGGCTATAGCACATGGTCCACTTGGATTCTTTTGCATGTGGCTGTCCAGTTTTCCCAACACCATTTATTGAAGAGACTTTCCTTTCTCCATTGTATGTTCTTAGCTCCTTTGTCGAAAATTAGCTGTCCATATACGTGTGGTTTTATTTCTGGACTTTCAATTCTGTTCCATTGACCTGTATGTCTGTTTTTGTACCAGTACCAGGGTGTTTTGATGATGACTGCTTTGTAGTATGTTTTGAAGTCAGGGATTGTGATGCCTCCAGCTTTGTTCTTTTTTCTCAGGATTGCTTTAGCTATTCAGGGTCTTTTGTCGCCCCATATGAATTTTAGTCTTCTTTGTTTTATTTCCGTGAAGAATGTCATCAGGATTCTGATTGGGATTGCACTGAATCTGCAGATTGCTTCAGGTAATATAGACATTTTAACTATATTTATTCTTCCAATCCATGTCCATGGGATATCTTTCCATTTCTTTATGTCATCATTGATTTCTTTCAGTAATGTCTTATAGTTTTCTTTGTATAGGTCTTTCACCTCCTTGGTCAGATTTACTCCTAGATATTTTATTCTTTTTGTTGCGATTGTAAATGGAATTATCTTTTTGAGTTCTCTTTCTGTTAGTTCGTTATTAGCATACAGAAATGTAACTGATTTTTCTAGTTGATTTTGTACCCTGCCACTTGGCTGTAGTTGTTGATTATTTCCAACAGTTTTCCAATGGATTCTTTAGGGTTTTCTGTATATAAAATCATGTCATCTGCAAACAGCGAGAGTTTCACTTCTTCATTGCCTATTTGGATTCCTTTTATTCCTTTTTCTTGCCTAAGTGCTCTGGCCAAAACCTCCAGTACTATGTTGAATAAGAGTGGTGAGAGTGGGCACCCTTGTCTCGTTCCTGTTCTTAAAGGGATGGCTTTCAGACTTTCCCCATTGAATATGATGTTGGCTGTGGGTTTGTCCTATATGGGCTTTATTATGTTTAGGTACTTTTCTTCTATACCCATTTTATTGAGAGTTTTTATCAGAAAGGGATGTTGGATCTTGCTAAATGCTTTCTCTGCATCTATTGAGATGATCATGTGGTTTTTATTCCTCCTTTTGTTAATGTGGTATATCACGCTGATTGATTTGCAGATGTTGAACCATCCCTGTGTCCCTGGTATAAATCCCACTTGGTCATAGTGTATGATCTTTTTAATGTATTGCTGTATTCAGTTTGCCAATATTTTGTTGACGATTTTTGCACCTATGTTCATCAGCGATATTGACCTGTAATTTTCCTTCTTTGCATTGTCCTTGTCTGGCTTTGGTATCAGGATGATGTTGGCCTTGGAGAATGTGTTAGGAAGTGTTCCATCTTCCTCTATTTTTTGGAATAGTTTGGTAAGGATAGGTATTAAATCTTCTTTGAATGTTTGGTAAAATTCACCGGAGAAGCCATCTGGTTCTGGACTTTTATTTTTTGGGAGGTTTTTGATTACTGTTTCAATATCTTTACTTGTGATTGGTCTATTCAGATTCTCTATTCTTCTTGGTTCAGTTTTGGGAGGTTGTATGATTCTAAGAATTTATCCATTTCTTCTAGATTATTCAATTTGTTGGCATATAGTTTTTCATAGTATTCTCTTACAGTCCTTTATGTTTCTGTGGTATCCATTTAATTTCTCCTCTTTCACTTCTAATTTTATTTATTTGAGACTTCTCTCTTTTTTTCTTAGTGAGTCTGGTTAAGGGTTTGTCAATTTTGTTTATCTTCTGAAAGAACCAACTCTTTGTTTCATTGATCCTTTCTACTGTTTTTTTGGATTCAATTTGACTTCCTTCTGCTCCAATTTTTATTATTTCTCTCCTTCTGCTGACTTTGGGCTTTGTTCTTCTTTTTCTAGTTCTGTTAGGCATAGTTTAAGGTTGCTTATTTGTGGTTTTTCTTCTTTGTTAAGGTGGGTACTTGCTCGTTTTTACTGTAAAGGCTCACAATGTTTGTTGTTAATTTTCACAAGATCATCATACTTTACAGGATCTCCATTTTGACTACCAAGAGCAAAGCTGTATTATTTGGCATTAGAAAAACTGCTGTGTGGGCATAGACAATGAAGAGACAGAAACTTTCCAATTTAGATCCATAGACTGCCAAATAATATTTCACATCAAAGCTGGAAAAATAACAATTCTCTCTGAAGTTTAAATTATATGGACTGTTCAAATTAATCAAAGAAATCAGATATTTGCCAAATGTGGCCCTCAGTTTACGCTGATTAAAAGGGGTCAATGAGGCACTAAAGAATTTCCCATTCACCATTTATTCTGCTCACTAGTGTGAGTCCTTCCCAAAGACTGTATTTGTCTGAAATGCCAAAGTGAATTGTCCATTAGCATTTGGAGAAATCACATTAATAACACCACCAAATGTGCATTGTTGGACTGAGGGGAGGAGAGAGGAGGAGATGGGACAGTACGAATTGAATTCACTTTCAGAATACAGTCCCTGTATTAACAACAAAGTTCTTTTCCCAGCCTAATTTTGAAAGAGCTGAGCAAGCCAACCTTACAGAATTTCTTTTTGATAGCCAAGAAAGCTGGGGGCCAGGACTAACGTATGGTACTTTCAATCTAATATCTAGCTTAATATTTATAGATAAGATTATTATATTAATAACATCATGTTGTATAATTATCAGAATTTTAAACATAATTTCCAAATGAAATTTTATTTTAAAATTTGTCTTTCAGTTTTAAAAATAAGTTTTGTTTTCTAGGCCTAGGTTCATGTCACTTTAAAAAATACTTCCTTAAACTCACCACACTTAACCTCTCTAACCAGAATATGAGGATAACCATTCCTCTCCAGAGTTAGGGATAAAAAATGTTTATAAAATCACGGATGTTTGTGAATGTTGTAAAAGAAGAAGTGTGTAGGGAACAAGGCCTTACTATTACGGATAACTTAAGTTATCTTTTAAAATATTACTACTAGAAATCTCTGTAAACATCAGAATGTTAGGATGGCTAAAATCTCAAATGAGTCTAAATTCATAATCACGAGAATAAGATACCTCTCACAAAGGTCACAATGTTTTCTTTTGCACTTTTTACATATACAATAAACAAGGTATTCCTGACAGCTACAGAAAGGACGTAGTGCATGCAAAACAACCACAAAATTCAAAGTCCAGTATGGACAAACCATTATATGTCTCTCGCTTGATTCTGTGGTTGTTATTTGCATAACTGGTAATCGGTAATTGGAGTAACTTGCGTGCAGGAACAACCACAGAAGAGAGTCTTCTGTGACTTTTGTTTATCTAAGTTATCTCTCTTAATGACTTTTTGAGAAAAATTCCATTTTGAAGTAAAAGTAAAATATAGGAAAATAAAAAGGTTTTCCAACTTGACTCTCTCATATTTTAACTGTTATTTCTCATCATTCAACAGAGGCTAAGAAATCATAAAAGAAGGTAACCTTTTCATTATTATGTATTGCTGCTATTCTGTGGTACAAACACCATCTTTTTTCCCCAGTCTAAGCTGCACAAGGGAAAATCTCATCAGCAGTACACTGGGGCCACCCATACCTGATCATAACATTTGCCCAACTGTATACAATTTCTAGAAGCCATTAAAAATGTACCTGGTACAGAATCCATTTTCCCTACAATTCCCGAAGGGCACTGCCACACTCTGTCTGGGAAACTCTTGTCTGACTATAGCTGGCAGGCTCCAGCACTGTGAGCTGTCGGCACCTGCAGCAGGAGAAAAGGCCAGCAGGATCTGTTTCTGAAGCAGGGATGCATCCAATGCTGACTGACTGATGTCAGGCATTAAGTCCCAGCAAGGAAGAGAGCTGGATTTCACAGCAGGCTGCTCACCACCTGGGCAAATGCTGAAAGTAGCACTGTCTGGAACGTGAAAATACTGAGAAAAGAAAAGACAATGCAGAGAGAGCACATTTACTGCAGTAATACAGAGACGTTAAGCTTTTTAAAGCACAGCTTCTATTAAACCATAACTGTGTATTCTCAGGAGGTGGCCAGGTGGGGGATATGGGAATATTAGAAATCCTGTTCCCATGAGAAAGTCCTAATGAGACAATTACGAGCAGTGAGAGCAGGGTCTGCTTTTCTAGGCATAATGAAACATGATAGTGCTGGGGTGGTTTAAAAGGTGATGCGAAGTTCTCAATGTCCCTCAGGTATTGCAAAAACCCAGATGCTGTAGGGGTAGAAACGGCACGTGCTGGGGAGGCAGCCCTCTTGGCCAGGTATGGCTGAACTGAAAGGGCATGGCACCCTAAGGCACCTTGGGAAGAAGAGATCTGAGTGGGAGATGGAACTCAGAAGACTAATTTTGTTGAAGGTCCATCCTAAGGGAGGAGGAAACTCTGATCCTACCCCTCAGTTGAGATTCCACATGGTTTCTGATGCATTAGAGAGCGTCAGAATTTTAGACTTAAAAAGACATTTAGAGATAGTTTATTTGAACCTCCTCTTTCACAGCTAAGGAAGCTACCTTCCAGAGAGCCGATGACTTGTTCAAAATCAGAAAGTCAGTGAGTGGCAAAGCCCAGGCGAAAGCCAGGCCTCCTGCTTCCTGTTTGGTGTTTTTCCCACTGTCCTACACAGTGTCCCTGAGAGGCTAGGGATTCTAATGTCTTTAAAAACTTCCCACCTCTGCCTGAAGCAGGGTCAGGGTTGAAAAGGGGGACACTCCTCAGCTGTAGGGAAGAACATGGGCCCTCCCCTTCTTTCCAGGAAGCTGGAGAAATGAGTTCATTGTGATGCTGGTGGTGTGGCCGCTGCTGGCTACTATCATTTCCTGAATGCCTAGCCTTGTTACTCACATTATCCCATTTAATCTTCACCAAAAACCTGCAAGGAATGCAAAATTATGCCCATTCTCAGATGAGGAAATGTCAGTGTGGAAAGCCCTAACCCAATGTCTCAGGAAGTCCTAGGGTGGGGGGAAGCAGAACTATCAGGACACAGCTGATTCTCTGTCCACTTCTCACCTACAGTGCAAACACTGTTGACCTCTTTCTCCCAACTGGGTACTTCTGGTCACCTATTTATTTTATCAATAGTTCAATGAACCAAGATGAAATTCTATTATTCTGACATTTTTGTAAATATTACAATGTACTATAAGCTTAGAAGATGAGACTTTCATCCTATTTTATTATTCTAATGTAATTTTTAGGAGCTGAAAGTAAGGGATAACAATAAATGCCCACAAAGCTCAAGAAAGATAATACTTTCCTATATGACAGTTTCAATAGCATAAAACAATAGCATACCACTTAGCATATTCTGTTTTTAAGTCCTTTTAAAATATCTCCTTACTCTCTCAAAATATAACTGTTCATTTTAATTTAAAGAACTGAATCAAAAATCCTTCTTGGAGTTATTTTCTGTGTATTCTGCCATCGAGATGTTAACATAAATCAGCTGGTACATTTTCACATTACTCTTCTTGTGGACACAGAGCTCAATGCTCCCAGATCTGTGGCTCAGTTGGGGCTGAGCCTTCTGCCCACATGGCTCCTCCAGGCACCTCAGCCTGTGAGGCAGATGTTCTTTTCCACGAGACTAGAGACTGGGGAGCCAGTCCTCAGGACCATTTCCCCTTGGTTTAGTAAGCGTGCTGCAGCCTATGAGCAGATGGGGTGCAGGCAGTACTAATCTGGCCGTGTGTCAGGATCTGCTGCTTTGTAGGATTTCTGCTCATTAGTTACCTTGGAAGTGGTGACCATGACATCCACGGTTTTAATTAAAGCAAACATAAATGAATTTCTCTTTACCTATATTCAATGTTAGCTTTTTATTTGTTCTAGGTTAAAAAAAGTTGATTCTATTTATTGTTAATTTATCAAAACCTAAGACAAATCAATCACACTATGAATTGCTTACCTCCTTTCCAGAATGGGGTTTGGAGAGAGATAACTGTGGCTTATAAAATATTTGATATGGTGTATTATTGATTATTGTAGTCTTGTCTTCAATCTGAATAATTTGTATACCTTGCTGTACCATGGAGGAAATGCAGAACTGACATAACTGCAAGACAATTGATGAAAGAGTAACTTTTAAAATATTATAAGGCATATAAAAACCTCTTGATTATTATTTACTTTTTTTTTGTTTGTGAGGAAGATCAGCCCTGAGCTAACATCTGATGCCAATCCTCCTCTTTTTTACTGAGGAAGATTGGCCCTGGGCTAACATCTGTGCCCATCTTCCTCTACTTTATATGGGATGCCTTCACAGCATGGCTTGACAAGCGGTGCGTCAGTGCACGCCCGGGATCCGAACCTGCAAACCCCGGGCTGCCAAAGCGGAGCGCGTGCACTTAACCGCTGTGCCACTGGGCAGGCCCCTTGATTATTTTTAAAAGGTCATTTTATCTATGGTTTTCCCAGGACAGTACCAATTTTATCTCTTGCTTCAGAGTATTTAATAGAGTCCCCTTTCAGTCTCAGGAATGTCCTGGCCCCTAAATGGGGCCACCATTTACTCTACAACAGGGTACTTTACAGACCAGTTACTTTTGCTGCTACTGTAGAGTGACAGAGACTTGTTTTGAAGTTATGTAACCAATTATCTCACAAAACATTTATCTATAAAGCACTTATATGTAAACAGATGCCACTCTTCTTTTTCAACATAAAGAATTTAAGTAAGCATTCCTCCTCCTCTTCCTCACACTCATCATAGCAGCCATCTCACTGAATGCCTATTATGGACCAAGGCGGGTTCTGACAACTTCAACAACGATGATGATGATGAAGAAAACAATAATGATTGACCCTTAAATATTGCTTTCTTATGCTCCACCTGTTTTAAGTACTTCATGCATATTAACTCACAGAATCCTCACAGCACCTCCATGGGGTAGCTACTATTATCCCCATTTTATAGAAGAGGAAAATGAAGCACAAAGAGGTTAAGAAACTTGACCAAGGTCATAAAGATAAAGAGAGTCTAGGTGCGGTTGGAAATCACACAGTCTGGTTCTATGGTGCTGCTCTTAATCACGATATGTACCATCTCATTACCTTATGATGTTACATGAGGAACTGATGCTCAGAGAAGATATTACTTGCCTAAAGATACCTATCTAGTAAGTGGTAATGTCAGGTCAGCAGTTCTCAAAGTGTGGTCTGGGGACCCTTGGGCGAGGGTTCTTTGAGATCCTTTCAGGAAGTCCAAAGGTCAAAACTATTTTTATAATAATACTAAGATGCTATTTGTCTTTTTCACTCTAATTCTCTCATGAGTGTACAGTAGAGTTTTGCAGAGGTTATATGACATATGATGTGATCATTGTCATGGCTAATGGAATGTATGCTTATCTATTCTTGTCTTTAAAAATTTTTTTTGTTTTAATTTCTAATTTGATAAATATCAAAAGATATAACCCACATTAAAAAAAAAAGGTTTTTGGAGGTCCTCAATAATTTTTAAGAGTATAAAGGGGTACTGAGACTAAAAAGTCTGAGAATCACTACTAAAGAATAATGAGATATAAATATATATAATAATATGTATATTTTCCAGCAGTTCATTCATTCATTCACAAACATCTATTCAGCACTTGCTGTGGCCACTTTGTAAGCTGTTGGAGGTACTGGGTGTTTGACTGTATATCATAACATTTTTTCCAGGTTTTGATGGTAGTTCTCAACTTACAACTATTTAACTTTGGGTGATTCACAAAGAGCTTACAGCTCTTTGCCATTTATACCCATGTTACGGTATTTTGGCCAGCAGAGCATAAACATGTGTTGCCCAGACAACTTTGAGGAAATGGATACCAGCCTTGAATATTGAAGAAAGACCAACTTCTTTGTATCAGAGAAATTTATTTTTAAAAAGTCACCAAATGACCCTAAATTTTCTCAAGAGGTTCTTCAAAGATGCCTGTCAAGATCTAACTTCTCCCTAGAGAAAGGCCATTCTGAATTATCCTACTCTGATGACGTATGCCTTTTTTTTTTTTCTGATTCGGGACAGCTAAAACAACAAAGATATTATTAAGTACAGCATGAGACCCCTACATGGTACACTATGATATTGTACTTTCATACATACAGTTTAATGTGATTCATTACTATATTATTTAACTTCATTGGTTTTCATAGATGTTAGAAAAGATTTATGCTGAAAAGCACACACCATTCATATTAGTTAAATAACTGATTATGTTTTTTGTATTCATATCTTTAAAAACATGGGTACCAGTTCCCTATTCAAACATATAACTCCCTGTTATAACACTGGTTCTATGGGAAGATCAGAGTTCACCCACATCATTTTGCTCAGGATGCCCTTTCCAGGAACAGAAACTTTGCTGCAGGAACCTTTGCCCTTTTACTCAGTGCTCAGAATGTTAGCAACTCTACTTCCTGCTCTACAAAAAGGAGGCCAAGTATAATTTGTGGATATTTTAGAATAAGTTCATTTTTCCCTCACATACGATATATCAAGTGACTGCTGAGTGTTTTGAAATAGAGCGGTTATTGGATAAATTATGTGACACAGCTTTTATCACTGGTAAAGGAAAAAAAAACCTGTAAAAGAGAGAGGTCTAAGAAATCACGTGTTTCACTGTTACAAATTGTCTAGAACAAGTAATACCAAAAAGAGATTTAAAAAGAAAGGGGTAGATTCATTTTACACAGGTTGAGGGGATAGCAAGCTATTTCTTCTGAGCCACAGAGACTTTGAGCCTACCTTCTGATGTCCTGGGAAAGCACCAAGTCTTATTTCGGCATCAACGAACCCTTCTTCGTCCAATGACACAACTTCACCATTACCTCCATCTTTCCACCTTGGAGATGTCAGGTTATGGACCAGTTTAATTGCTACTGACTTGTGCACAGTGTTTGTATTTGCCCAGTATATTCCAATTTGAAAAGCTTCCTGGAAAAATAATGCCTCAGTTATGAAATATTTTTCTTAACTTTGATATTTTTACCTCAATTGACAGGAATTTTTTATATTACATAATAGGTCTACTCAGGCAACCAAATCTCTTTATTATTATTATTTTTTGTAACGGCAACATATATTTTATTTTAGATCCCAATGTTTTCTTTGATTCACACTAGAATTCATATTTATGGAATGGGGGAAAAAAAAAACAAACTCCAATTGTGACTACCCTGTAAATACCAAAGATTTAAAAACTAAAGGTTTCATTTCATTTGACAAAAGTATAGTACACAACATTAGGTCCATGTAGGTCAACATTCCAATTCCATAAGGTAACATCATCCGATTAAAAAAAAAAAGGAAAAATACAATTGAATAAAGATGCTTATGAACTGAAGCTCAAAAAAACGACTCTCAAATTATTCCCTATCAGAAAAACATTTTATTTAGGAGTTCCTTGTACTCTATTTTCTTATAGATTTATGTGTCTTCTTAAAATGGGCCAAACTTATCAAGAAAATTCTCTTATGATGGAATATAAAATCTTCCTGTGAAGTTTTGTTTTGCAATTAGGTTTTTTGCCCCTGCATCAGTAATGATTCCACGTTGTTATTATCAACAACTGGGTGGACATCATGATTATGGACATCCCTCCTAGTCCACTTATAAAGGAAAGGGGGGCCTGATGAAAATGGTTGCTCAGAAATCCTCATCTTACAAAAATTCTCTGCGATCTGCAAGATGGGTAAGAACCACAAAAATATCTAAGGGGTGGGTAAGCACAGAATATGGACGGCTCCATATCCTTAATATATCCTGAGTAGGCCAATCCTAATACATGTCGCATATCCTGTACACAATGGAAATGAGAATGTAACTAGTACAAGTTACTGAATTTAACGATAACTCAAGCGTGAATACTGCTGATGGGCAAAAAAAAAACCATCTGAAACGTCTTTGAATATCAAAGAACATTCCATGCCCCTTACACATGCATCTAAGAGGATAGTTTTCCACAACTGATTCATTCTAAGAACACAAAAGCAACCTCAGAATAAAAGCTACTTGTTGAAAGAAAAGAATTCATATTGGTTAAAGAAAGTTAGAGTACCTGAAAATTAGGAGGGATAATAATTTTGCCAGCAGGAACCTGTAAAATAATCTTCTCTCCTTCAAATAGCCAGAGGTCCCACTTGGATTGGTTGATAAGCAGGGCCCAGGGTAGAAGTTCTATCAACAGGGTTCTAACATATGGCTTCCAGACTGACAGCTTCACTCGCATTGGGCTATCCCACTGACTCAGCTGTTCATTCCTGTTCCAAACACCACATCCAAGAGACTCAATGAAATACGATGACCTCAGTATTCATGAAATATGTTTAAGGATTCCACACACACACCACGCTCCTATATGACACCTCTTTACACCAGAGTCATCCAATGCTAAATGTGCATCCAGGAGAAAGAACCTTTCATGCAATTATGTTCTGGATCATAAGTAAAGCAATCTAACGTCTACTAGATGATAAAAGGTTGGAATCTGACAGATACATGCAAATATCTTCTTTCTTTAAACCACTTTTTATGGTATCTAACATTTTTGTGAATGGTCCTTTATTTCTTAATATTGAGAAATGTCTGTAGAAAAAGAATGCTGGAGAACATTACCTGTCAGAATCCTTTTTATTATAGGGCCATATGGGTTGAAGGGACTTTTCTGGCCCATAGAATTCATCCAGGATCTGATTAACTGTGCCTCCAGGGTGTATCTTAGTGGCTATTTGCTTAATGAGGGATGTTGAGATGGGAACAGCACAATGTGAAGGATCTTCTTCTTCTCTAGGAAATGGAAAGAAAAAAACAAGAATAAATATCAGATTTCTAAAGCGGTCTACAATTTATTGAAAACAATCTAACTACAAAGTATTACAGAACAATAATTTTTTGTGAGATTGAGTAAATTTTTGGTGATTTAGGGATTGATAAAACAGTTTTTGGATCTGGGTGCTGGCTTTTCCTCTTCCTTCCCCTTCTCCCCCAACCACACTTGGATGAGATCTCTCTCTCTTCTTCCACAAGAGAAATTGTCTCAACTAAATTTTCTGATGATCCCTCTTATTTATTTCTAAGCTTAATGAAAGAGGCTGAATTTTATTTAAAACTATAGAAGAGAATAAGAGAATACTAGGCATGGCAATTTAAAAATAACATTCTCATAAGATAAGTCATATAAAAAAACTTGATTCTCCCCCTCCCCCTCAATAGTACAAGGTTATTTTTCTACTGAATTTCTCTTAGGAAAATGTAAGGACTTTTCCAGTACCTTGCTTGAAATGTCAGGTGATGTACAAGGTCAGGTTCTATGTTTTGCAGTGGTTTTTCCTGCCCTTTTCCCGGAATAATTTGTGTTTCACTCAATCCCAGACTCCTTTTCTCCAAATGTATGATAATGGGGTCTGGAAGATGACTCCTCATGATAAAAAGAGGGCTGAACACAATCTATAAAAATAAAAGGACAGAACAACTTTCATATTTGCTTTGTTGCAGTATTCCAGCTGTTTGAAGCTGAAACAAACTTGTAATAAATCTCTTCTCTGGGTCACTCTGACCTTAATTTATTTCAGAACAGGGAAGGTCAGGGTCATATACCATATTTTAGGATTGGAAAGCACTCACCATTCGTTGCTGCACTTGAGAATTGGGTTCTAAAGTCAAAACTGTGCACCAGACATAAATAATGGAACTGTTTGAAGACGGCACCTGCACATGAGATAGGAAAGGGTCCTATTAAATACCGAACAGTTTACTAATCAATCAAAATAAGGCACAGATATAACATCAGTTTAGAGGATTAAAAAGTCTGAAGTTACAGAAAAAAGCCGTTTAAAAATAAGAATAACTAAGCAAAAAAGATTTCATTATAGCGTAAAGTGAATGTGCAGTAAGTCAATGGGGCCAGTTCCTTCCATAAAGACAAAAGGATTTGTATGAGGAGAAATTGATACAAGACTGAATGGGAGAAGGCAAGAGAGGATTTGTCCTTTGGGAATGAAAGTGATCATGGTGGAGATTGAGGAAGAGATAAAAAAATAACAGACCATCACCAAGATTCTCAAGTGGGGATGACATCCTTCTCCACCGCACGCCCACCCCCACCCCTGCCAAGCCCTGGTGCATCAGAATCTTTTTCAAGATACAGCTTGCCTCCATCTGGGAGGTGTAGCATCTTGGCTATAAGAACTACTGGAACCGATACAATCGTGTTGTCATGGGATGGGGAGGAAACAGTTTGAGAAGTAATGTTCAAGGCCTTTTTATATTATGTCAGAGCTCCTCTCTCTCTCTCTCTCTCTTTTTTTTTTGGTGAGGAAGATTAGCCCTGAGCTAACATCCGATGCCAATCCTTCTCTTTTTGCTGAGGAAGACTGGCCCTGGGCTAACATCTGTGCCCATCTTCCTTTACCTTATATGGGACGCCGACACAGCATGGCTTGGCAAGTGGTGTGTCGGTGCGCACCAGGGATCTGAACCTGCGAACCCTGGGCTGCCGAAGCAAGAGCATGAACTTAACCGCCAAGCCACTGGGCTGGCCCGCAGATCTCTCCTCTTTTGTATATATCACTTTTTAATAAATTAAGTGCTGTATTGAATAAAGAACATAATTAGAAATTTTTAATTTTAAAGCTGCTCTAGGGCTGGCCCCGTGGCTTAGCGGTTAAGTGCGTGCGCTTCGCTGCCGGCGGCCCGGGTTCGGATCCCGGGTGCGCACTGAGGCACCACTCCTCCAGCCATGCTGAGGCCGCGTCCCACATACAGCAACTAGAAGGATGTGCAGCTATGACAGACAACTATGTACTGGGGCTTTGGGGGAAAAATAAATAAATAAAATCTTTAAAAAAAAAAAAAAATAAAGCTGCTCTATTCTAGATTATACTACTTCTCATACCTGAATGACAATGCTATACTCAGGGGTCTTGGATTCCAGGCACACATCTCTTGACCAATCTTCATCTCCTTTGGCCTTCACGCACAACTCTGTCAGTTCACTGTTTTCTAGTATGTATGAAGGCAATTTCTCTTTGGCTGTGAGGCAGTCAAAATGTTCTCGAACCACAGCTTGTCCATCTTGACCAATGTAATGCTGAACGACTTTTAGTTCTATGCTTTGAGACAAGTAACTACAGATGATCTGTCTTCCACAGATGATAATCTAAAAGACAATAAATCATCAATTCAGATTTCATCAATTCAGATTTCATGAATTGGGAATTGTGCAGAGTAAACTATGTTGATTTCAATGGAAAGAAAATGAAGTCATTAGCTTATTTAAAGAACACAAGAAGAAAAAGAGGCTCGGAAGGAGAGAAGGGATTTTGCTCTGGTCACGTTGAATTTGCAGTATTTAAAAGACAGACACATAGGTGGGGTCCACGTCCAGCTAGAAATACTGGTCATGTGCTTGAGAGTGAAGGTGGGCCTGGAAATAAAAGACTTGTGAAATAAAAGCCTTGCAAATGCGCACGGACAAAAGATAGTTTACCTGGGAAAGAGGGTGGAGGCTCAAACCCAGGAACTGCACAACACTTTAGGGGCAGACATGGGGTGAGAAGCAAGAGAAAGGGCCAGAGGAGAATGGGTGCAGGAGTGTGGAGATGAATCGGGAGAAAGCGTTGCTGAAGCCATGAGAGAAGAGACTGACCAGGAGGAGGTATCAATAAATGTAGCAGTCCAAAAGAACAGGGACAGAAAACAAGACTTCAGCTCTCGCAGCTCAGAAGACAACTGTGATCAATCCGTTCCCCGAAGCTGATTTCCAAGGGTTTACTGCATTCTTATGCAGTAACAGATCTCTGTATAAACTGATGATACAAACATCGTTTAACTCAGATACTTATATTTTATTTTATTCAGGTTTTTCTTACAGTGTAGATGCTTGTATCTTTATAAAACACAAAGAATTATCCATTAAACCCAGGGATTATCCAACTTTTCATCCAGTTAAGAGCACAGTTCATAACGGGCATTAAGAAATATCTCAAGGTGGTTGAAATTGAAAAGATAATGCAAAATTTATTCTTATGAAATAAACACTTTTAGAAAGCAAATCCTTCTGTAATATGAATATTTACCATGATTGGGGAAAATAGGACTCTCACATCTAGATTTCTTTATTTGTAATATTTTTCCAGATTATAAAATAAAAATAACTTTTATATATATATATATATATATAGCCTATTTATAGGTCTAAGCATGTGATGGTTAACCTTATATGTCAACTTGAATGGGCCATGGAGTGCACAGATATTTGGTCAAACATTATTCTTTTTTTTTTTTCTTTTTGTGAGGAAGATCAGCCCTGAGCTAACATCCATGCTAATCCTCCTCTTTTTGCTGAGGAAGACTGGCTCTGAGCTAACATCTATTGCCAATCCTCCTCCTTTTTTTTCCCCCAAAGCCCCAGTAGATAGTTGTACGTCACAGTTGCACAGCCTTCTAGCTGCTGTATGTGGGATGTGGCCTCAGCATGGCCCGAGAAGCGGTGCGTCGGTTCGTGCCCCAGATCGGAACCCAGGCCGCCAGTAGCGGAGCGCGTGCGCTTAACCGCTAAGCCATGGGGCCAGCCCCTGGTCAAACATTACTCTGAGTGTGTCTGTGAGGCTGTTTCTGGATGAGATCAACATTTGAATTGGTAGACTGAGTAAAGCTGACTGCCCTCCCTAATGTGGGTGGACTTCATCCTATCAACTGAAGACGTGAATAGAATAAAGAGACTAAGAGGGAACTCCTGCCTAATTGCTTGAGCTGGGATATTGGTCTTTTTTGGTCTTTGGACTTAGATTGAAACATGGGCTCTTATTGGGTCTCTGGCCTGCTGGTTTTTGAACTGGAACTCCCTATCAGGGTAGTTCTTCTGGGTCTCCACCTTGCAGATGGCAGATCTTGGGACTTCTCAGCCTCTATAATCATGTGAGCCAATTTATAATAAATCTCTCCCTCTCCTTCTCTACATACATATATATGTACACACACACCCACCCACCCACCCACCCCACTGGTTCTGTTCCTTTGGAGAACCCTGACTAATACAAAACATTTTCACAAATTAACTCTTTTAATCTCATAGCAACCTTATAAAATAGGTGCTACTATGACTCCCTGTCTTAACAAGGGGAAAATGGAGGCAAAAAAATGTTGAATAACTTGCCCAATGTTACCCAGATTGTCTGGCTCAGAGTGTGTATTAATAATCACCCTGACAGTCCATCTCTCATTAAATTAATACCTACTAATTAAGAAAACTTAAAAACTATAAAAAAGAGAATAAAGTCTGCCCATCATAACGTAAACGTGGCAAACACTACTGGTTCTATTCCAAACAGCTGGGCCCTCCTCTTCTCTATTAAAAACACCGATTTGGTTTAGGTCTCAAAAAGCAGTGAAGTGCTCAGGCAAGGTGGACACCTCCCATGGCCCCCAGAGGCTACACCATAATTGGTAATAAGCTATCCTGGTAATTCCATTCCTCTTTTGCCAATGATTAGTTTAGGGGTGAACATGGGACTCTGTTTTGGCTAATAATATGAAAAGGGAAGACTGATAAAAGGCTCTGGGATAGATTTTACTCATTGATAACAAGGGAGACAATTTAAGAAAAACCCCTCCTTCCCTTCTGTCATGGAAGATGTTGTGAGAGGATATATTTATCCTTTTGTAGCCATCTTGAGACCAGGAAGGCAAATCGAAGAGGATGGCAGAGAAGCCGATACAGCACTGAGTTGCTTAATTAACCAACACCGAACCTGCCTTCTTAAACCTTCTTGTTATGTGAGATAATAAATGTAACATAGGAATAATAATAGCATCTGCCTCATTAACTTGCTATGAAGATTAAAAAGCCCATTTCGTAACTTCAAGTTGAAAGCATCCTAATTGATACATTTTCCTACGTCATTAAGAATACTTTGTAACCCTCATTTTTAAAAAATTTTTTACACAAATAAATATGAATAACTATTTATGAATGAACTATTATTTACCCAAAACAAACCTGCTACATTGACAGACCAAAAATTGTCATTGTTGTTTCAACTTGCATTATTCGAATAGTAAGGTTTAGCGTTTTCTTAAACATTTATTTTCCAACTATCTATTCCTTTGAATTTTCTTTAGAAGGAACACATCTGTAAAAACCAAGCTGTGCTTAACTGTTATATTTCCCTTAGATACTCCGGCCATTATAATCTTTAAAAACAATGTTTTCACAATAACAAACATAAAAGTCAACTGATCTATGAGTCCTAAATTAGCAAACAAGCTTTTCTTTAGTATATGCTAGGGGCTACTAGACACTCAAGATAAGTCTTATGATGCCAGAGCATCACCGAACTTTAAATAAACATTTGGAAGTTCTGAGGCAGTATTTAACTCTGTTCTTATTCTGGATATGCCCAGACCTGGCCATGTATGCACACTGCTCTTGCTTCAGAACCTTTGGGCCCCATGAGATTTAGGAGAGAATTTTGCTGTCTCTCACAGAAACCGCAGAATCTCTGCAACCATCTGGGACTGACTTTGTTTAAAGACAAAGATCCTCTTGGTGTATTTTTATAGTTTCATTTTCAGCTGGAAAGCCTGTTAAATAGGCTTTCAAATTTGATAAAAAGAGAACCCTTAAAAGTGGCCAGGGAAGGAAAATCCAAAATGGCTACTCCTCAGAGTGGTGCTCTTTATGGCTGCTCCCATGCAGGCTTCAGTGAGAGCCATGTCTGCTTTTCTTCAAAGCTGCAACATTTACAATGCCTTTATTTTGAAAATTATGGTTAGAATTTCAAGATTAATTTATCAGTTGAAGACAGCTACTTAATTTTTTTTAATGTAGGGTTTCTCTTTAATACATATTTCCAGGTTTCACACTAATGCCCCTCTTTCCTCAAAGCCACAAAGATGTGTAGTGAAGACTTCCACATATGATTTTACTTAGCAGGTTTCAGAACTCTTATTAGATCAGTGCCAAGAATAGTGATATTAAAGCATAAGTCCAGAGCACCAGATGCACTGGAAAATGATATCTTAACCATGATTGAAAGTGTATGTATAAAGATACAAATATATATACATACATACATATAGACATTTAAGTTTTTAGAGTGGTAAAACTTTCCTCAATGAAGGGATGGGAAATGGAAGCCAATATGTGTACATCAGTAGTTGTATAAGGTACACAATTCCTGAGAAATTTTATATGTGATCAGTTTTCATTCAGTTGGAGAAATGAGAGAGATATAGGAAAGGCAGGGTACAGATAAGCAAACATCATTCTTCAGATGAGCTTTAGCCAATTCTCCATTATCCAGGGGCATATTACTGTGGTTAAGGTACATCAGGGAGCTGCACACATTCACTTCCCCAAACGGGGTTTAGTAATTAATTAGGCAGCTGCAGTTTACTGCAAATTTCCAGGCCCAGGTGGGGTAGAAGGAAAGAAGCCAAGATGTGAGGGAGGCAGAAATCCATGAAGTTCTTCTGGAAGCTTGGTTTCTATCTTCCTTCCTATCCTGGCTAATTGAGGAAATCCTGTGTCTCTGATGTACTTTAACTAGAGCTAATCTGAATGTTAGTTAGTTAATCTACTCCAACAATAAAAAAATAAACCCAATCGAAAAACACATTATAAATTTTTGCTTGTGTGTGTGTGTGTGTGTGTGTGAGGGAGGGCGGGTGAAGAGAAAGAGAGATGAGAGGCTAAAAATCACTGACTAGAAAGGTTTTTCACAACTTGTACACATGTGGCAGTTGGTTTGAAGTTGGCATGGTGGTCTGCGGAGCCTGTCAGTATTACCTGGGTTCAGTATAAACCACTTTCCATTTGCTTCATTCTAGTTTAAATGAATTGCTGTTTCTGTGTTCCACTTTTCACTACTCTGCTAAGTTTTTTTTTTTTTTTTTTAAGATTTTATTTATTTTATTTTTCCCCCCAAAGCCCCAGTGGATAGTTGTGTGTCGTAGCTGCACATCCTTCCAGTCGCTGTATGTGGGACTCGGCCTCAGGATGAACGGAGAAGTGGTGCCTCGATGCGCACCCGGGATCCGAACCCGGGCCACCAGCATCGCAGTGCGCGCACTCAACCACCAAGCCACAGGGCCGACCCTCTGCTAAGTTTTCTAAGTGGCCCTAATATAGACATCAATCTCATTTTACTAGGACAAGAAATGCTAAAACTCAAAATATAAGTTTTGTGCCTTCCATGACAGGGGGAATGTAAAATGGACTTGCCCAGTTCTTGTGGGAGAAGATGACCCTTCCTTTTAGAAAGGTAAATGCAGTGGGAGGGCTACTTATGCTCTCATTGCTCTCCAAGTAGTCCTTTCCCGTTTGGCCAGATTCTACTTTTTTTTTTTTTAAGAATATTTATTATAAATAGAGTAGAAGCAGAGAAAAGTGTGAGAGGCAGTCCTTACAGAAAAGGATTATTAACCCTCAACAGTACAAATAACATGTGGAAAAATTCTGAAATGTGATTTGGCACCAGATGCCTTAAAATCTGTGTATTTAACATTAACAGAGAGGATGATTAAAAGAATTCCTTAAACTTGTAATGTATGGAAATTTTTTTTTGTTAGTCCTGATCCGAACCCCTTTTTACAAAATCAAGATTGTTAAAAAATGCTAATGGTGTGAAAAACTTAGAAATTCGGCAGAAGTTTTGGGACAAATATATATTTAGTTATTTAAAAGGTTAGTGTAGCCCTAATAAGAATCCGGTAAGACAAAACAATGAATTTTTGTTAAAGAATAAAATACATTTTCTTAGTTTGGGAATATGCATCAAGCACCGCAAAAACATTCATACCCTTTGCTCAAATAATTAAATTTCATAGCAAATTATTTTAAGGACAGACTCAGAAATTTGGACATATATTTATACACAAAGATATTTATTTAAAGATTTATTATGGCAACAGATTAGAAATTATCTAAAAGTCCAACAACAAGGGAATGTCTAAATGTATTTCAATATACCATATGGTAAATTATTATGCAACCAGTAAAAGGATAATTTCAGGAATTTTAGATAACATGAGAAGATAAGCATTATATAATGTTAAGTGAAAAAAATAAGTTGAAAAACTAATCACAATCAGATCTCAAGTTGGTTAAAAAAATATCTGAATAGGAAAAAAGAGTAGAAAAAACATACCAAAGTAACAATAGTATTTATTTTTGGGTGGTAGAATTATGGGTAATTTTTATTTTCTTCATTAGACTTTTCTGTGTTTTCAGAAATGTTTTATAACACTTAACATAAAAATAATAGTAAACTAATATATATTGGGTGCTTTCTTTTACAAAAGGAATATGAAGCATGGAAAGGTTAAGAAATTTACCTAAGATCATATAGGTAATAAATAGTAGGGCTGGGAAAACTTTCACAATCAGAAAAAAAAAAAAAGATAGCTAACATTTTGTGAGATTAAAAAAAAATTTTTTTTTCATCACCAACTCTTTCAATTTATGGTATACTGTTGCAATGTATATATCTTCTCAGGAACATTGTACATATTAATTTATCCCTGAAATTTAATATCATTCTTTGAAAATACATAACATCCGTACAAGAGTGAGGCACTATTGTGGTTACACAAAAAAGTCCAACTAGTGTTACTCATGCCTGGGAATATTCCATTATTGTAATGGTAACTAAAGTTTATTGGGTTATGATAGTGGGCCAGGCACATTGCAAGCACCTGACATATTCAAACTTATTTAATCCTCACACTAACTTCGTGAGAAATGCATTAGTACTATCCCAATTTTACAGATGAGGAAAGTGATTCACAAAGATTAAATAACTTGCTGAAGATTACACAGCTGGCAAGGGGATACAGCCAGTTGCCTATGATCTTAACCACCAGAACATACCATGAAAACCATTTCTCCATGGGAGGACCCCGCCATTCCAACAGTATACCATAATTGGTAAATATTCTAGCAACCACACGCAAAAGAGTGGAATGAATTGGGAAAGTTTAGACCAGAGCTATAGTAGTCGAAGTGTGGCCCCTGGAACATCAGCATCCCCTGAGAACTTGTTAGAAATATAAATTATCATGTCACACCCAAAACCTACTGAATCTGGAACTCTGGGGGTGGGACCAAGAAATCTGTGTTTTAACAAGCCCTCCAGGGGATTCTGATATACACTCAAGTTTGAGACCCACTGGCCTAGAGAGAAGGAAACTAAGGGGAAATAGCCTAGCTTCCCTCATGTTTTTGAAGGGCGGTAGTATAGAGGAGAGGTAACTTGTGGAGTCCTTGCAATAAGTGGTTGTGTGCTTGTTGTATACACCTCACAAGTTCTGACAAATGGTAAAAACTGGGTGAATGATGACAGATTTTGGCTCAAAATTAGGAAAGAACTTCACTAAAAGCTGGAAGTAATCAATAATGGAAAGGGGCTGCCGTGTGAGGGAATGAGCCTCTCATCATCAAGAGTATTCAAACAGATGCTGAATGACCATTTCCCAGGCATGCTTGTGAATGGGAAGGTGGATAAGGCATTCTTGAAAGACCATGAGTGACAGAATCAGAAAACCAGCACGTATTGTTGGGCAGATATCTGTTGAGAGCATACCCATATAACAGAGTTCTGAGGGCAGATGGGAGTCAGTGATACTTCTTGTTCTTATGACTTTCCAGCTCAAAGCTCACACTAGTTCTGCTGGTCCCCTCATGAGTCCTTGAGTAAGATCCATTGTCCCATATTTTTACCTTTGTTTATGCTATACTGCCTACTTGCAATGCCCTCTCTTAATCCAAATTCTACATATTTTCCAAAGCTCAGCTCAAGTCATATCTTCTTAGTGAAACCCCTCAATTCCCCTCAGTTGTATACATTGTTGGGTTTACATAAATTTGCAATTTAAGACCAAAGATTGTGTCACATGCTTAATGTCTCTCATTTTACTCTGTTCCACTGTAGGCAAACAACAAATACTTGGAGGAATGGTCAGTTGATTGGGAAGACTCTTCCAAGCTTCTGTTCTGAGACTCCTCTGCTATAGTTCTCTTTTCACTTCTGTTGCCCACAATAATGAGACTACGAAGTCCAGCTCCTTGATTACGTGCAGACCAAGAATGCATATGGTACGGGTCCTACTGTTCACCTCCCAGTTGCTTCCTGCTTACTCGGGCATACAGCGATGGAGTAGCCCCTGCTGCTCCATATGGAGAGCTCCCCTTTTCCTTTTCCAAGGACTGAGTGCTGTTTCTATCATGTCCTCAGTTCACATAAGCTCTGAATAGACTGTTACAATCCAGATGTAGATGTATATGTTAAAACTCTTATGACAAATCCAGTTATTATGTGTGCAGTGAAGCCAGTTTTCAGATTTTAATACTTCCTTTTTTCTTTCTACTCTTGTCATATGCTCCACGCTTGAAAAACATCTTTTAAAAACCACATTTTCACATCTTAAGAATACAAAAAAGTGTCAGATACTTTTTTTTCCCTTTGCAGTCTTAGAACTTCAAAAACAGCCAAAAGGAAGTTTTATAAAATACGTAAAAATATGTGCTGAGAGCTGAGCTTTTATATGCCAAGAGTTAGACTGCAATGAATTTTTACTGCAGTTAATATTAACTCCTAGGAAAAGAAAAGCTTGCTAGAGACCCAGGCCCACTCCATCATGGGTGAGTAGCATAACACTTTCTCAAAGATTATTCTTACTTGTATGAGAACCAACTCCTGGTTATCCACTGTTGGATTATCCAGAGTCCTCACCACCCTTGCTTCTTTTCCTTTTCAACAAAGGCCTCTTGGCCATTTCACAGCTCATTAGCACCTCCACCAGAAGGTAGGTGGTGACAGGGAGAAGAGGTGAAACTAAAATCAGTAAATTTTACTGCTCGTTAGCAGCTCTTGTAAAAGATGTGGGACAAGGGGTTGAAGCCATCATCATCATCAGGATCATCAATAAGCTCTTTTTAAGCGTTCATGTGCATGGTAGTAGTAGGCATAAGTAGCCATACCACTGTGATTTTTATTATCAATTACTTTCATTTCTTTAAGTTTCCCTTCCATTAATTACATCAAATAATTAAGAGTTGTCCAGGTCATAAGCACAAAGGAACTTACCTGTTTCTGCACTCCACTGAGTTGCTGAACCTTGATGATGAGTGAAGCAGTTCGACCCTTGTATTGAATAGTTCTAATAAAAGTCCCGGCATGGTCCACACTGAAGGGCTCTGACCAACGCCAATTGCCCCAACCTTCAATACAGATGTGTAACAGCTGGAGAGAGAAACAATAATCGTCATAATGCCAAAAGTGCCAACAAAAATCTAGTCCTAAAATGAAAGTCTCATTGTTGGAAAACCTTCCTATTTGTAATATTTAGCATCTGTTTTCTTTCTAACCTGCATTATTCATCCATTTCCAGCTTATTCAACCAGGCTAAGAATAGCAAATATGCCACATAGAGTCAATGTGATTTTCCAGATCATATTTTAAACCTTCTTAAAAATAATTGTCCTATCAAATGGTAAAATGCCTGTTGAACATTTGAGAAAAGATTGTTTCATTCATCTGGAGGACAAGAAGGTTGAAATGTGAGATCAAAAAACTTTGGTCTTGGCTGACAGTTTATTCCTTCTTATGGCTAGTTAGCAATTAAAGCTAAATTTGGTTTGTGGCATTATTTTTGACCTTAAATTGCCATTCCTCATTTTTTCTTTTGATAAACAACAAAACAGCAATTTGAGGATGTAGTTCATTTAATATACTCTCCTTATGAGATCACATATATCAAATTAGAAACACCTTCAACACGTTGAATGTATGAGAAAATGTCTTTGTTCTTTCTAGTTTTTTTCCCAGTATGTATTTATTGTAACTTTTACCAGTTGAGTCTCCTGATTCACATTTATATTTATTCATATAGTATTGCCACTGTTGGTAATATTTAGCTTTCATGGACATCAAATATTTCTTCTTTGCACTCCTCCCCACTAACTGCAACTAAGAAAATCAGTTTAACTGAACAAGTATTCCAAAACATGATAATTACTGCTTCTTTAGGACACATGTTTAAATAAAAATAAACAATGTTCTATATGATTACTAAGTATAAAGAAATAAAACTGATATTTTAGGAAAAATATTTATATGATACACAAACTTAATATTTTCATTCATATCATACATAATTTTTTAAAAGAGCCAACCAAAGGCTAATTGTAGGAAACATTTTCCCAATTAACAGAATGAATAAAACTTTGAAAACGTTCTATAAGAGCTATCATAATAGGCCCTTAAAATAAATACATTAAGAATTTACATGGGAATTGCTATAATAATAAAAGTCTTTTGATGGAAAGATTATTTTTTAGTTTTAGGAGGAGCCCTTATAAAGTGCTTAAATTTAAAAATTTCTCAAGGTCATTGGTTATCACAATATGATTTTTGGTGGATAATTAAGGGAGGGCTTTTTAAATTTTTAAATATCTTAATAAAATGTTTTAAAAAAATCTCCTAACTCATCTCCCTGCTTTTAATATGGCCCCAGCTCCAGTTCTTCCTCCACACAATCACCAGTAATCCTATGCAAGCAAAAAGCTACCATTTAGATGACTTCTAAAAGAGAAGGCTAATGACTAAAAAAACAAAGCAAACAAACAAACAAAGCATCCTGGATAGCAAATACCTTTAGGGAAAATTTGGTCTTATATGCACTCTACAACATAAAAGTACCAGAGTATCTTTGATGTTTAAATATTAGTTACAGAAAAAAAAAAAAAAAAAGAAAAACAATAGCGGTGTTTGGAATCATTTCAGTTTTTTTGTAGCAGCAATGGGGAATAAAGCTCAGGGCACACACAAAACTAAAAGAAACAAGAAAGTTGTTTTCTTTGGAGAGACTAGTAGCTGGGAATGACAAAAAAATAAGGAGGCAAGGTACTTAAGGTCAAGTTCAGCCATATTTTTCCTGAGAATTCCATAGCCTCTAAACAAAGTTTTAATGTACACAATGTAATTTTAATTGAGGAGTGTTCGTTCACATTTGCATATGAGTTCAGTTTTAGGTAGCTGCTCACACTGTGTAGACAGCTTTTAATGACTGAATGTCACCAAGGAATATGCTGTCAGGTTTCACTTGGCAGCTATTTGTTCTCAGAATGTTGGCGAAGATATTTTCTTTGAATTATGAAAATTCAGATACATCTGGATTTAGTTCACATAGAAAAGCGAAGTGGGAGAAAAACATAACACTTCTTCCCACATGCATCATCAGTTGAGTATTTGCAGTGTTTGGTCTACTGTTAAAAAGCATCTAAATATCATTGGCAATTAGATGTATGTAATTTATTAGGAAAGGCATTACATTCCTAAGAGGAAATCTACCAAAAGGAATTCAGGAGGCCCAGCAGTACTTAGTCCTCCTTCCCACAGTGTAATTGATTAGGGCACTAGGCAGCAGTGCTCAGATACCCGTGGACATCAAGTGAGGATGGGAAGTTCTATTCTTGCTGCACCCACTGAATAAATTTCACTGCTACAGGTCCTGAAAAGTTTCCATTTAATAACAAACACTCGGGCTGGCCCTGTGGCTTAGCGGTTAAGTGCGTGCGCTCCCCTACTGGCGGCCTGGGTTTGGATCCCAAGCGCGCACTGACGCACCGCTTCTCCGGCCATACTGAGGCGGCGTCCCACATACAGCAACTAGCAGGATGTGCAGCTATGACATACAATTATCTACTGGGGCTTTGGGGAGAAAAAAAAGGAGGAGGATTGGCAACAGATGTTAGCTCAGAGCCGGTCTTCCTCAGCAAAAAGAGGAGGATTAGCATGGATGTTAGCTCAGGGCTGATCTTCCTCACAAAAAACAAAAACAAAAAAACCCCCACAACCTAAAAAAAAACCCACAACCTAAAAAAAAACAAAAACAAAAACAAACACTCATGTCTATTTTTATTTCTATATTGAAGAAACTACAAAATCAGGCATAAAAATGTGAAATTTGTGTTAGACTACCTGATTTTAATGAGATTTCTTTCTATTATTCATCCAACACATTTTTATTACTCAGGTACTGTAACGAAGACAACATACTAGGCACTAAGGAGGAAATAAGGAAGAAGAGCTGTGTTCTTTGCCCCACAAGGAGTTTAAGATTTTATAGGGAAACTAAGATGTGTGCAAACAGCTAGCAAGAGGCATTAGGAGAGGTACAAAGTGATAATGGAGTCTAGAGAAGGGAGGGCTTGTTCTAGGCTGCTGTGATTATGAAAGCTTCATGAAGCCATTGAGTCTCAGAGTTCCAGTAGGATTTCAACTGGCAAAGATGATCCTTCATTTCCAGGCCAAACGGACAATCTGAGATGTGAAAATTAGAAGGTATGCTTGGGGGGCTGGCCTGGTGGGTAGCGGTTAAGTGCACACGCTCTGCTTCGGTGGCCTGGGGTTCGCAGGCTCAGATCCCGGGTGTGCACGGATGCGCTGCTTGTCAAGCCATGCTGTGGCAGCGTCCCATATAAAGTAGAGGAAGATGGGCACGGATGTTAGCCCAGGGCCAGTCCTCCTCAGCAAAAAGAGGAGGCTTGGCATCGGATGTTAGCTCAGGGCTAATCTTCCTCACACACACAAAAAAAGAAGGTATGCTTGGGGCAAAATTAATAGTCTCGAATGGCTGGAGAAAAGGGAACAGGGAAAAAGGAGGGAGGGATAAGGTCAGATGGTAGATCTAGATTGTGGCCAGCACTGATTTACTAAGCTAAGGCATTTGTGCTTCATTCAGGAATTAGCAGGAAGCCCCTGAAGCCTTCGTTTAGGGAAGCGATGTGTTGAAGGGCTGGTCTTAAGAGTGGAGTTTGGAGGTGGGAGGACAACTGCAATAGTCAGGCTGAGAGGCATTGTGGACTAGAAACATGGGGAGGAGGAAGCGATGGGCTTAGCCAAAAATCACTGTCCCTTTTTCCTGGAGCCCAAGGTATTTTTATGTTCTCTTATCACTTTGGAAATTTTCTTTCGTCTCTTTTCTATTAAGTTTCCCTTACTGACTCACTTCCTCCACCATCTTTTCTATTAAGGCTCTTCATTCTCTTCGGCCTACTTAGTGTCTAATATTTTCCATGGGGAAAAAAAATGTCAAATAGGAACCACTCTTGTTTGAACTTTTCACTGGGAACTGAACCTAAGTATTAAGGCAGGTTGTACAGCGGTCACACTCATTGGAAGATCCCAAGGGGCTACATTTTCTTTTTCTCCAGCAGACCCCCAGTGGTGCACTGGCAGCCAGACTAAATTTGTAGTTTTTCCACTGAAGATCTCAAATGGGAGCATATACAGCTTTCCACTCATTTTTTTTTAATACAAAATAAAACTTAAAACTAAATTACTGATCAGGGGGTTTGGGACCAGCTCTCAGGACCACCCACAGTCCCATTGAAAGGGAGAATTCTTGAATCGATAGATTACAGAGGAAAGAAAAACAAGATGAAATCTAGGAAAACAGGGTACACACTAAGGAAGAGAAAAGGATGGTTAAGAAAAATTTTTAAATTATATCTTAAATATAAATGAAGGTACCAGATAATTTGTTGTGAACTTGATTTCACTATTCATTTTAAAACTGTTATCAAGATTATTCTACCTAAATAATCACAAATTAAAAATGTGTCTTCAGATTCACTTGCATTTTTTTGCATTTTATAACAATTTACTGTATAGTAATATGTAATGTTCTAAAAAGAAACTGAAAATCTAAATAACTTCAAAAAATTTCATCTTCCATTGTATTCTTCATAGAAATTTTAGGAGTTTTAAAAAATTAACATGCAATCCAGGTGAAATAATCTACTGAATATATGTATATATTAATATACATTAATATTTATATATTATATGTTAACATATATATTAAAGCTTAGGCACCATATTTATTTTTTAAACTTCTAAACTTGTCACTATATCCCAAGAGCCTAGTGCATTGTAGGCATTCAATATTTGTTGAATAAATAAATGAATTAGGATCATTAAAAATTAACCCAAAGTAGATACTCAAAAATTTCAGTGGTTGTATTTGTGCATAAAATAATATAAAATGAGTATCAAATCCACATATTTAGAAACAATTCCTATTTTGAATGATCTTTCAACACATGAGATTTGCTTTATTTACGTGGATGATGATACTAAATTAAACCATGAATCAATGTAATCCCTCAGATCCATAATTCAGACATTGCAGTATTGATATTAAAGCATAAAGCAGATCCCAAATGATATACTAGGTG